ACGAAATGTTTTTAAATATATATTCTACAATAAGATTATTTGATTGCATACTACTGAAAGTTCCGCCTTATATGTCTTTTCCCATTGCACCATTCCTTTACTGATATTCGATAATATGACGCTCATCTGACATAGTTCTTAAAGTGTGTAGATGGGTACAATCTTTTCCACGCTGTTCAGATGGGAATGCGCGAATATATATAAGAATTGCTAATATTGGTTTGTAATGCTTCTCTACTACTATCAAACCTTGACATTTTGTGAAAACTTTTTTCCATGCAACCTTTTTTAAAACATCCCCAACAACCACAATTACTTCTGTTATTAAACTTCCGAAACAAACACATAAAATCATCAACAGATGAGTATCACCAAGTAGATATTGCTGAATTGATCTTTATTTTACCATTTTGCATGTAATTCTTTTTGGTAAACCTGTTATCTATCGTAAATACAGCACATTTGACAATGTTGTAGTGTGACTATTTTAGCCTCACATTTTTGATATTTGTAGTTAGAGCTCTTGGGGCTCTGTCAAACAAAGTTACATACAAAATATTGGTTGTAAATTGCAAAACATGATCATGTTGTTGGAATAACTTGGCATTTTACCACCCGTATATCATTCATTGTTGAGAATATTAATAAAATCATAAAATTTAAAAATCCGTTTTCGTGAAATTTTTGTTGTAGCTGAATTCCAGGGACAGCATGACAACAGGCAAGAGAAGCACGGTCGCCTCTTTTAGTTTCATGACAGGGTTTCTTGAAAGGGGACCCCGTCCTCCTTGGAGGCGCTGATCGGTTATCTGGGAGCACGAACAAACAGATGGAAATGCGAATATATAATAACAATGTATTTTTATAGAAGAGAAGAAGCAAAAGTGTTGAGAGTCTTTGGTAGTTTGAAAAGCATTGGCATGGAACATAAGAATGAACTACATTCTTTCCCAGGGATATACTATAAAATGTAGCAATTTTCTCATTCTTGTTCTCGTGATATCATTATCTTTCACTGCGTCGTCGTGATCATCCCGCTGCATAACAATTCTCGCCAACAAATAATTGACTGTTCTCCACCGGGTGTATATCCACTTGAACCACTGGCGACTACATTAGCAGGCTTGTACTGTTAATTGCAACAAAAAACGGGTATTTTGAAATAGTACTCTTTATTTTACGCGTATGTTTCGACAGTATTTCCATATACTGTATATGGGTCGCGACCCAAAGCTGGGCTCAACAAATACCTAGAAGGTATCGATTTTATTTCCTAGTAAATTTGGTGCTTGCGTAGTTTGTGCACCAAGATTGCGCACAACCTGAACATAGTATTGTAACAGGTTATGGTTCAGGTTGTGCGTCATTATGATGCACAGGTTTGACAAAAAACACTAATACAAATATCGAGCCGTAAAAAAAGTGCTCAAGGCTGCAAACTCCACACCCATGTAGAAATGATGGGCAATGACCCCAAGATGAATAATCACAAATAAAAAAAACTTTATGTCTGAAATCAAACTTGGGCCAAAAAGGTCCCCTTATCTGCCGGACTAAGACTTTGGATGGACTTTGGATAATGAGAAACAGGCATATTAATTTACGGTCCCCCAATGAGTGTAGTGCCACATATACAAAGGCAAATATTTTACGGATCTTGACATTCTATCCCTATAGTCGGATTCGGAAGACTTTTGGCACAGGGTACTCAGATTCTCAAAAAGGACAATGAAAATATTTGAGACAGACGTGTGAATAATTATGCACTACTTTAATGTGTGCTGTATTTGTGATTTCCATTTTACTCCCCTTTCTCTGCGCGACTATGACATAGCCATTTTACTTGTTCTGATTAAAATTTGGCTTTGTTTGGTGCCTATTTCAATTTTGAAAAGCGCTATAATTTTATAGAACACCCACGTTCTACCGAAGGACAAACGTTTAGACATATTGGGTTCCTATACATAGCCGTTGCTATCATTGTATTTAAAGTTTTTTTTTTCGGAAGTTTGTCAGAAGATGCTTCTGTGCTGAGGAAATTGAATAGATCATTTCATAAACATAAAAACGAAATTGACAATTACTCATATAATTACCTATTGAGCTCATTGCTCATTACAATCATCCAATATGATTATAAGTTCTATTTAAAACGTAACGACAGATAGATGAGAGATGCATCCTGGAAATTAACTCAGGATTGTGAACGAATGCTTAATTATCGATTGCGCTTGAAGTCGAATCCATTCCAAATTTCAACAGTTAGAAAATTGAAGAGCCTATAAATATGATCTTCTTTCATCCTTTTTCACATTTCCCCTGAATTACTTGGAGATCAAATACTATACCACTTCCTCCACTATGTCAAATTTCTGTTAACCAATTTTAGCGAGCGAGTGTTCAAAGATCGGTATGAGAACAGAAAACATTTTTCTTAATATTTCGCTGTTAGTGAACCGCAAGATGGAAAAGGTCTGGAAACATTGTAGTGGTATTAACATTTGAAGGATCTTAAGCCGATGGGTTTTTTTGTAAACGGGTACATCAAAGAAATGGATTTAGATATAGTCTATCTGGCGATCATCAGACCTAATTGGTACTTTTTCGGGGTTGATTTACCGTATTATTCTTCAGTTTATTAATACAGACTGCTAAATTAAATATAGAATGACGGGATTTCAATATTGCTTTTATTGCGAAATCAACTTGAAAATATAAATAGTTTTTGGGACAATAAAAAATATACGGTAATCCCACTACGTGTTAGAAAATGACTCTAACAGAGATGTATCAGAGAACTAGCAGGCGATAGTGCATGCAGGAAGGATCTTTAAATGAGGCGGGGTTAAAATTCGAAATTTCCGAATCAATCTCCGTGATTACATGCTTGTCTTACACTTGCACAGTGTGTCCCACATTCGAGACGATTGTCTTTCTTCCCGAACATTAAAAAGTTGACTTTTCAGCGTATAACGATTTATCTGTCTAGTAAAATTTAGTTGTGTTCAACGTAACTCGAAATTGTATCGACTTACGGCAAAATGAAGTTATGGACATAGGAAACTACACGGACAACGTGAACTAAATCAATATGTCCGCTTCTGCTTGTTTAAAGACTTGCTTGGAGTGATATCGTATACCGCCCTATTAGTAGATTGTAGCACATTACATAATCTATCGCTGGGCATAAAATAACAAATCTTTATGTGTGTGGTATCCAACTTCAACCATTGCGTGAATTAATATGTTCTTTCTGCTTGTCTAAAGCCTTACATAGAGTAGTATCGTAAAACGCCCTAATAATAACTAACAGCACAATGCATAACCTGTTGCTGGATATAAAATACCAAATCTTTAGGTGTGTGTGGTCGTGAGGTGGCGGGCCTCATTGAGTTTGTTAACATAATCGCCGACGCCATTGAGGGTGATCAGCTCTATTTCGTTATTGTGACGTCGCAGTGACGTAATTTTTGGATGACGAAGTCAGGTGAGGGTCAGGAATGATATATGCACAAATTGTTACGCTAAGTTGAATAGAAGTCATTAAGGTACGAAACTACACCCATAACGTTAAATCAGATTAATATATATGTCCGATTCTGCTTGTATAAAGCCTTGCTTGGAGTGAAAATGTTTAACGTCTTATGAATAAAGGTAGGACGAATACATGACGTACGGCAGGACATCAAATAACAAGGCTTTAGTTGTGTGGTACAAAAATACACTCATAGCGTACTCGCAAGCGCCATTATTACGGCTTTATTATCGTCGCTATTATTAGGCAAGCTCTAGTTCGTGATTGGGAGGATGCAGTGACGTAATTTTTGGATGACGAAGTCAGGTGAGTGTCAGGAATCATATATACAAAAATTGTTACGCTAAGCCTAATAGAAGGTATTGAGGTATGAAACTACACCCATAGCGGACAGACAGGCGTATTTAACACGATTGCATTATGGTCGCTATTATTAGGCAAGCTTATTTCGTATTGTGAATTCGCATTGACGTAATTTTTGATGACGAAGTCAGGGGGGTCAGGAATATATATGCAAAAATTGTTACGCTAAGTTAACTAGAAGTTATTGAGGTAAGAAACTACATCCATAGGTGCCATTACGAATAACGTCGCTATTATTGGGCAAGCTCTATTTCGTTATTGTGATTCGCATTGACGTAATTTTGGATGACGAAGTCAGGTGAGGGTCAGGAATCAGGAATATTATATGCAAAAATTGTTACGCTAAGTTAACTAGAAGTTATTGAGGTAGAAACTACATCCATAGCGGCCATTACGAATAACGTCGCTATTATTAGCAAGCTCTATTTCGTTATTGTGAACGTTCGTGACGTAATTTTTGGATGACGAAGTCAGGTGAGGGTCAGGAATATTATATGCAAAAATTGTTACGCTAAGCCTATAGAAGTTATTGAGGTACGAAACTACACCATAGCGGACACACAGGCGTATTTATCACGATTGCATTATGGTCGCTATTATTAGGCAAGCTCTATTTCGTTATTGTGAATTCGCATTGACGTAATTTTTGGATGACGAAGTCAGAGCAGGGTCAGG